TCTCGCTGCAGGATTGCGCTGACTGACTATCATCAACATTCCCCCGCGACGCGAAGTTTCTGATGTTAGTCTTGGCCAATAGTTGCAGAACTTCTTCGTCGAAATCGGCTTGGTCAGGAAATCGTCGAGTTGGTACTTGGATTTGATGTATTGTAGGTCGATCGACTTTCTCTTGAGTTGATCACGGACGAAGTGGTACCAAATATCGATGTGCTTGGCTCGACTCTGATATTCGATATTCTTGGCAATAGCAATTGCCTTTTGGTTGTCTTCGTGCACAACGGCTGAATAATCGATCTTTTCTTCATTTTAGACACCAAACCCTTTGTCCAAAGCACTTCTTGTATGCATAGTGATAGAGCCACGTTTTCGGCTTCAGCAGTGCTAAGTGCCACCCTTTGTTGTAGCTTTGACTTGGATATACCTGGTGACTTGTTGATCAAGACCATGATGCCTGATGTCGAACGACGGTTGTTCTTGTTAATTGCCCAGTCGAAATCCGTATATGCACTTAGCTCGAGTTTTCCAGGAAGACCTTGATAGCAGATCCCTTTTGTCGCAGTTGACTTGAGGTAACGCAGCACACGAATAGCCGCACTCCAATGTTCTTCACTTGATTGTTCTAGATGTCGGCTTGGCTCGCCTACCACAAATGCACTGTCGGGTCTTGTTTCACTCGCCACATATAGCAGTGATCCGACAAGAGATCAATACGGACGGTTCTCCATTCTTGGATCACCCTTTTTGCACTTGGTCAGAATTCGGCTAATCACATGCGGCGGCAATGATTATTGCATCAAAATGCTCGTAACGTAATCAACAGCTGAGATATCAATATCGGCGCTTCCAGACGTGATACAGAAAATCTGATACGACCAGTCAGTTCAGTTCGTGCGGCGGCAATGATTATTGCATCAAAATGCTCGTAACTTAATCAACAGCTGAGCTTGGGTTGTTAATTGACTTGAAATTAACTTGATTGGATTTTTTCACCATTCTGGCGATGCATGCACTTTGACTTATTTTCAGCTTCTTCCACTGCTGCTTGTACTCGACTTCTATGCCAAAAATAATGCGTATGTTTTCCAATATCTTGATTTTGAAGTAACTGGTAAGCTCACCCGTAATCGGATTGATCAGGTCAACCGACTTTGATCCAATGAGCATCTCATCAACGTACAGAATCACTAACACCCGTGATCTTCCAACTTTACGAAAAAAAAAGCACGAGTCTGAAACACATGCTGCAAAACCCATATCGATAAATACGCTTGAGATCGCCTTAAACCAGGTCGCTGCAGCATATTTCAATCCATATAGAGTTCGATTCAGTTGATCGACTTGGTTTGACTTTGCTTCGACATCTTATAGCGGATAGATGTACACTTCTTGTTCGAGGGATCCGTTAAGGAACGCAGTGTCAACATCGCACTGGTGGATGAACAGACCAAAATGGCAACATACCGCCAGAAAGACACGAATCGAATTCAAAATTACCACTGGAGAATACGTTTTCGAGTAATCCATAGTATAGATTTGTTGATAACCTAGTGCCACAAGTCGAGCCTTGTATCGCTCGATTTCATCATACTCATTGTACTTGATCGCAAAACTCCATTCGGTTCCTATCTTTCTGACTTGATTTCTGTTGAACCGCTGGTCATGTCTTCTTTTCTTCCAACGCTTTCTATTAAGCCTTGATTACATCATACCACATCTTTGACTGCGGTGACTTTAATGCATCTTGATACGTCGCTGGAATTTTGAGAGTTGCATTCGCTTGTTCGTATTTGAGACGATAGCGCTTCGGAGCACGTTCCACTTGCTCTTCGTTTGTTCGTGGAATGATCGCGTCTGACCTTGGACTAGAACCAACGTTTCAAAATTCTGACTTGGTGGTAGTGCAATCGGTGCAATGTGTCCGCCGCTTTGAGGCGATTGAAACACAGGGAATTCATCGATCACTTCCAATCTCCCCCTGAGCACAATTGTCAGATTCGGATTCACCTCGTTATCACCCGATCCATATAGATATCATCAATATTAAATAGCGGGTCGGACTCATCCAAGGATCTTGGATGTTGGGAGGTTGTAACATGTGTCATACTTGAACCGATTCGAGGCACGTTGGTTGTGTCGGTTCCAGTTTGGTCTACAATCATTGGTTCGACGTTACTGCGTCGATACCACAGACAATTGCAGTCAATCATCATCAGCAGCAGCAGCAGCATCATCATCTTGAATGCGCTGAGAACTTTACTCACCACTAACGACTTGCTAGTACTTCAATTTTGGTTGTTCTTGAAACACAGCTGAACGCGTTATTTTCACTCGCTTCAATCTAAGTTCCATGCACGATATCCTTTAATTTGATCCAAATATCCAAGAACATACACTTGTATGTTTTGTTGCTTAACTTGACATGCTTTGCCTTCTCAATTTGTGCATAGCCCAAAGCTCCAAAAATGTGAGAGGTTTGGTCTTTTACCGAAGCACACTTCAAATGGGGTTTTCTTTGGCTGGACGGCACACGGAACTCGGTTGGTCACATATACTGCAGTGTTCATAGCTTCTGCTTGCCACTTTCGTTAGCGTTGCATATAGTTTAGCATCAATCTTGCTCGCTTCGTGATTGTTCTTTTCATCCGTTCTGCCATCCCGTTCTGTTGTGGTGAATACAGAACCGTTGCTTGGTGGATGATACCGGCCTTTTGACACACTCACAGCAAAACGTTTGTTGATGTATTCGCTTCCATTGTCGGTGGGAATACACTTGATCTTGGCACTCAGTTGGATCGTAGGCTTCGTTTCTCTTTGCGTCCGAAACCCGCGCTCTAGCGCTGAAAATCAAGCTTTTATCGCAGTGACTACCGGCGATCCGGAGCCATCCTGTTGTAGCTTTGGGCTTAGCGCTTTGCATTGCCAATTGGCTATATGCTCCTGGGATTAGAAAAGCTTTGGAAAGGTCACACGTGTGCGCGCTGTGAACGGGATACTAGAGGTGTCATGCAGGCTATATCTTGTAGGAATATACCGCAAGCTTCACAGACCCTGCGCACGCTGCCTGTTCTTCATACTCGTGTCAAGAGCGAGTGGACCCTCATCGAAGGTAATATTTTCGTCCAGCGGCAGCTTGATATTGCCACCATCGAAATCTTTGAACTTTCTTGTGGGAATCAATCAGGTAGTACGAGTCAAAGAGGCTATAAATTCTCACTCATCAGATTTTATTCAGCGCAAACATTGTTAAGCAGCATGCTATCACATAAAAGAACATAACATATCATGCTTTTGATACTCAACTACCGAGATCGCGGCGGTTGCCACGGAGGTCGATCGCTTACCTGCTCAGCTTGACTTCATGATAACAAGCCTGATCTGCCTGTTTGGTCTGTAGCTGCTAGGCAAAAAAGTAATTCCCGGTAATCACCGAGAAAACCTAGCCGTCATGTTAATGTCCTTGTCGGCGGTGTATCGCAGGTGCTAGAATATGTTCTCAATTTCAGTATCAGCTATGGACATACAGGTTGTAACTAGACATGATATCAAACTCTGCCTATAATGATTCAGAAACACGTATTTCAAGCTAAAATAATCAATACTTGAAACCAGCGTTTAGCCAAATATAAGGGCCATCTTACCTGGATAAATGGCAGCAAATGTTACGAGCGCCTGTCGACACAAGCTTGTAATTACTGAAAATAGTTGTGAAATTTCTTAACAGCTTAAACCATGTAGAGAATTTGTCTTATACCAAAATAAAATAAGTAATGTATCAATCTACCTAGCTAAGATTGAAAATCTGCATATGATATTGTCAACTCGAAGGTGATCGTTGATTGGAGTGATGGCCGACTTGTGTGAGGGTAGCCTTACCTTGGAGCTTTGGTCGTACAGGCGCCGCCTTAAGAATTATATATGCGCACTGAACGTTGCGATGGTCATTTCAAGGGCCGGAGCAGCAGGAGATGGCTATCTTCGGCCGAACATGCAATATTTGCGATAACTTCGGACGAAGCGCAGCGTCGACACTCGAGGAACGTACCACGCGTCGCGACGACTTCTTCGCAGTCTTCTCAGTCGTCGCACATTCACAGCTTCTACCCCATGGCGATGTCAAGCCACTTTGGCGGCGAAGCAAAGAAAAATGCAGCGAGTCGCGACACATCGCTCCAGAGATGTGTGACTGAGCAGTCGAAGGAAAGATGCTGTTCGGAGTCCATTGCATTGTAGCCATCACGAATGCAAACGAGAACGCCCGGATGCAACGCCTTCAAAAACAAGAAGCACGGCCGGACCGGCAGAAGACAGAAAGCTAATGCAACTACAAATCTTCAAACACCGGTTGAATAATCTTGTGTAGCGCTTACAAAGCTGCACATACATCTTGATATGAGGAGCATCGACACGCTGTGAGTGAATCTGCTTTAGGAGCCGCTTCATTGGGGATTTGTGCGTCCAGATTACTTGAAGAAGCGCGGCCCGAGGGATCGTCGTGACTTCGCACTTCTTCGCCCCATTTGTGCAGACCAGTTACGAAAGCAGACGTCTATCGCTGGTGTTTGAAGCGTCAGATAAGCTGTAACGCGCCAAATTAGTCTTTGATCTGTATTGCGACTCGATATAGCTCACTTTGCCACTTCATCCGCACACTTGGGACCATCGACACAAGCGTGTAGGCAATGTGGCGCTGATTGAACTAAGTCAGCTATGCCTTGCCATCCATTTTGAAGTTGACACGGGACTGAAAGCCGAATACGAGCGACAAATGAAGCAACAATGCACAAGATACCGTCGATAAACTCCAATCATCGAAGATCATCCCGTCGTCTCGTATTGTGGCTCCGAGCCCACGTGAAGTCATATTGGCTGCTTCAGACCGTCTGACACCGCTCATCAAGAGACAAGTCGCGCTTAATGATCTCCCAGTGTATCTTTACCACACCCTCGTCACTCGCCACAACGTTGAAGCCCGGCATCACTCGATCGTGTTGCCATACAGTACTTGAACCCTATTTAACATAGGAAGCACCGACTTTAGTAACTCAACACTCGGCGTGGTTCAGTTACACACGCTCGCCA